AATTTGAGCTGTGTCCAGGCCGTTGGAGTCTATGTCGGTCGGCGTATGGGTTAAAATTTTCTGGTGGCGGCTAAGCCGCCACCCTACAAGAAGTCGTTGCTTTGTCTTCTTGTGTATCAATATTGACGTCGAAGAGTACTCTGCCGATAAGGGCGAGGAAAAAGATCTTGATTTTTTAAATCGTTAGTTTTATATAATTTTTCTGATACTGAAGTCAATTGGTTGGCCTGGTACAACACAGGGCATAAGTAAAAATGACCATTGCTATCTAATAATGGATATGGCAACATTGTATTTCTTTTAGATACATGTCACACTGCAATGTCAATTGTCATTGGGTTCATGAAAATTAGACGAACTTTAACTGGTCGTAAATTAAGAAAATAAACTGTTTATTAGAGTTCATTTTGGAGAAATCATGTATAAACAAAAAATTATAGCGAATAATAACACAAACAACTTTAATTTGAATAATTTTCTTCTCCAAGCATAACAGATATAGGGGTCTATTCTGTAAAACACCCTTTAATATTTAAAGGCCTTTAAAAATTTAATTTTAAGACGCATGTTAATTTTTTTAATCGAAAATGGTATTCTGTATCCACAATTTTTAGAGGACTGTTAAAAATTATTAATTTTAACGGAGTCCTTTAAAATATCAGGAGAACGCTTGACAACATCGCATTAATCATATAAGTATTACGATTCATTTGAACTAATTTTGACCTAAGTTACGCATGGGAGTAGTCCATTTAAGAAAAGAAAAAGAAGGGAGGCTAACATAACCATACAATTTAATTATTTCTTTACTATATCTAAAAATGTTTTTTATGTTTTTAAAAGATAAATTTGGAATGTTTTTTTATGCTTTTAAAAGATAAATTTGGAAATTGGAACGGGTCGCTTAAGTCTCTTAATTGACCTTTGATGTAATCTAAATTAAATGTTGCCCTGAAATATTAAATGTAGGTATTAGCTTTACATTAAAACTTATGTATAGCAGAAGTAAAAGTTGGAAAGGCTTTTGCCAGTTCTCCCACTTTATTCACATAAATTGACAGGTTTGCGGCGGATCTAAACGAAGTGGACGCGATACATTGGCGTACAAAATTATTTTATAGATGTTAATAACAATTTCGAGTAAATAGTTTAATAAATTGTGAATAGCTGTTGAAATTTTGTAAAATTATGATTTGAATATTATAATACATGTTTAATGATTATTTATAGTCCATAAATACATGCGATTGTCCGGTAACAATTATAAAATTACTTATTCTATGAAACGACACTGGCAGGTAAACATTACTGCGAAATTCTCAAAGCCGTCCGACGTGGTTTGACGTTTACCCCCTCTCTACCTACCAAAAGCCTTTCCAACTTTTACTTTCGCTATACTTCAAACCTTTCTTCATTTTCCAGTATTTTTTCAATAAAAACTTCTCCAATTACATCATAAAACGCCATTTTACTTTATGTCAAAATTAATAAAGGAATCCCTTTAAATATTGACAGTAGTGAGTTAGTGAATAGAAAAATATTTTTAAAGGCCGTCAATATTTTAATGGCTGTTACCCCCTATAAAGTACCCTGCCCCAGATGTCCCGACTATGCCTAAAATCTAATCAACTCACCCCAGGATGGACTAAAGCTAAAGTTTAAAATTTGGTGTTTTTATCTTTCTCTGTCATGCTCAAACGTAAAAATCCGTCAAACTCGAGTTCAAAAAAATAATGATTCCTCTACTTCCTTTATCTATATATAGACAGGAACGTAAAAGTGTTTGTGGATCACGTGTTATGTACGGTACCTTTATGTATCCGGATCATTAAAGGTACCTCAAATGTTTAACAGAAACCTCATCTAACCCTAGCCTAGATAATAATTAATCTGTTAATTAACCTAATTAATCTGTTTTTTAACGACATTGATATCAAATACAAACATTGATATCAACTTCAAATATTAATTGTTTGCTAATGATATGAAAATTAATTTAATTTTTTTACAGTAATACATCATCTAATATGGTTAATTTTTGTTTTCGGACATTATTGACTCCACTTGTGGTCTGCTCGTCTATTGTATGTAGGTATAATTATTTAGAATTAAGAGAAACAATCTAATCTAATTTATCTAATCTAAATATTTTTTAAATTACCACTTAAAAAAAAATTAGTACCTATTTGAACTTTTTTAAAGATTAAGAAAAAGTGGTCTTAGAAAAACGTGGTTATAAAAATATAAAAAAAAAATGTATTCGGGATAAAAGGATTAATTTATTAAGAAACCAATTACTTAATGATACAAGGAGAAAATCAGAAAGGCACCATCTCTAATAGCTAAAGAACCAATATTTTAATTGTTAGTCAGTACATCAAGACTCAAGAACTTTAGAATTTGACTAAATTTCAAACATATCTATAGAAATACATTAATGAAAATCTAATGTACCCACATTGTTTTTAATAATTATTCGTACTGACAATCATGATTACATATAGGTAGCACCAGAAGTTTTTTTTATTATTTTTAACCAAGATATTATTTGAATAATACAAAAATAAAGAATTGACAAACGATTTCAGTCATTAGTTCTAATAAAATGCAGCTAGGAAAGTATTTAGTTCAACGAAATTGCAATTAGAAATGCTAAGGTTAATAATTGTTTATATTTTGGGTTCTTTATTTTGTTTATAACTAATTTCTTTTGTAAAAATGAGAAAAACCAAACATGGCAGATTTTCACAAACACTTTTATTTAAATAATAAAAATTACAAATTATAAACTGTTTCGAATTACAACTTCTTCACATTTGATTTTCTGTTGATTTTCTTCACTATATTAGCAATGTCACTTTAAAATTAATAAAAATGTTTATGGCCATTCTAACAACAAATTTGACTTGGAATTTTTAATTTGGTCATATTTTTTTGTGGGAAAAACGTGGGCAAACAAATGCCAACTATTTTTTTGCATTTTTGACAATCTTGATTACTGCTTGACTTCACTTGTGGTCTACTTTCTCATTTCAAAATAAATAGCAGTTAGTTCTGGTGTCCCACAAGGTACACACTGTTCGTCTGTGCTCTTTAATTTACTTATTAATGATATACCATCAACTATAAATACTTTTCTTGTCTTACGTTAACTGATATGAAAACTGTGGGGGGAAATGAGGATACTATGCTATTACAATCAGATTTAAATAATTTAGTAAATTGGTGTCATAGAAACGGATTTTCTTTAAATACTAATAAATATTTAGTTATAACCTTCTATAAACGAATCCCTGATACTCTCTGTCAATACAAATTGCACAATCAGGAATAGAGTTCAAATAATTAACATTCTTGGGGTGAATCTTGATTCGTCTTTAATTCAAGGAGCTCATTAATATAACTGTGAAAGCTCTAAAAATGTCAGTTTTATGATGATAATCTCTAAGAATTTATCTGCACAGTCTTTAAGAACAGTTTATTACTCATATCAATTTTAGAATATTCTTCTATTGTTTAGAATCTATATTAATGAAATAGAAAGAATGCAAAATAAATTTGTAAAGTACTGTTCTTTTAGGTTGAATGTCCAGTATGATTATTTGGAAAATTTAAAATTACTCTCTCCACACATGTTTTTTTTTTTAGTCTACTAAATCCTATTTATAATAGGAATAGGACATCTTAAAATATCACAATTCGACACTAGTTGGTGCGAGGCTTTTCATGCTGACCCAATGACCATGGTAGACAAGTCTACCTGTAAAATTATAGGGTGTTTACTTGTCATGATAGGGTGCCCTCACTCTGTACTTATAATTAATGGAATTTGACAGCTTTTGTAGTCAGTAATGGTACAGTATTTAGATACAGATAGCAGTTTGTCTGAATTAAATATTTCTAGCTCAGAAGTAGATTTTATTATTCTGATATCTTTAGTTCATAAGATAGGGACATTGTAAGTTTCTAAATTGACATCCCCATATGTCTTGTATAAAAATCAATTTTGCGATAACTGCAAACAAAAAGTATTGGTAGGGACCAATTACAATAAGATAAACAGAGCTACATCATCAATTGGCAGAGTGATTCTTTGGCTATTGCCTTCTACTGGAGGTTTAGTGGCATGTTAATAATATAAAAATGTAGGAATAATATTTCTAAACCAAACAACTCACATATTCTTTATTGATTGATATTTATAGATGATATATATTGGAAATTCCAAATAACAGTTATGACATACTGTGTTCTTCTTATTGTAATCGGACTTGTATAACTACTACTTTGTATCAGTCAATAAATTGTACTAGCCAACTAGTCTTCAAATAAAAAAAATAGTAGCTAATACGCCAATACAGTTTCAATCAAGCTTTTTGTTATTCATTAAACAACATCATTTCAAAATATTAAAGATAGGAAACTCCAAACAAAAAACTTGAATATGACCTTGATTTTTGGTCAAAACTATTGAATAACCAGACAGAATGTTATTTTTTAAAAAGTAATTTAAAATGAATAAAACTATGGGTACAATACTTGTCTAGAATCAAAAATTAGATTCATAACATAGGTTGGAAATTATTGTATTCAAAAGATACTTTTATTACTAGGTAATCATAATATTAAAAATAGAAAAATGCATCAGATTAAACCAATGTTAAATATGTAACACGTGGGTTAATTATTATCAGTGAAAAATAGTTTATCTTACAATTTCAACATATACATTTTTATCACTTGACACATTAATTAGAATATCCCTAAAAACCAACGCTATTTAACTATTAACTAGATCAATTAAATAATAAACGCATTGCTGTCAAAATAGATAAATAAATTTAAAAAAAAATTAACTTTACAATACCTAGATATAATTTTCACATTACAAAAAAATGTAAAAATATTTGGAGCTAGTCTAAAAATAACTTCTAACATAAACTAACACAACATCAATGTAATTCGCACATACAAAATAAGTAAAAAATCTAAATGCTTACCTCTAAATTATTCTCACTATTGCCTGTTGTTTTAGTTTTTGGATCCTGGAAAATAAAAGTATTTTACTGACAACAGACCAAAGACACACTAACCTATTTGACACTCGGCTCGAAACTGAACTCAAAATTTCGATACTAACCATTTTTGATAAGTATTACAATACTGATAATTAGCAGTAGTTCGCTGATATTGTGGTTAATTGTTGCAATAAATTAACAAAACAAGAATGGCCACGGCATCAACAATCCTACGAAATTCCGTTACACTTAATTCCACCGCGCGAGGAACCTTTGTCGATTCGTGGACAATAAATTATATTAATAGATTGTAAATGAAACACAAATAAAATGTCTACGATTAGTTAATGAGAGTTAATAAATTATAAAAAGGGTTAAAATATATGTAGCACCGGACATTTTACGACTAGTGGTAAATAAATGTACTAAAAAAGAACTTCATCTATCAATAGACAGGTTTTGAACCATTTGATTTTAAAACATACTTCGCCATCTATTTCTCAATCGATGTATTAAAAAAAAATTCACGTAGATGTTTTACAGATATCTGCTTGACTTTGACAATCATAGACAATGTGACCAACTTAAAATGTTTTAAAAGAACAAAATTGAAAATTCCCCAGTTTTTTTAATTTGTAGAAGGAAGTGGAATATTTTATGGAAGTGCATTTGCGTCACTAAACTCCCTACCAGTGGAATGCTACACGATTCTGCCGACCTAATAAAAAATGGCACAGCTCTGCGATGTTTAGTAGCACTTCAACGCCAGCGCAATACGAAGTTTTTGGAGAAAATACAACGAAAATTACACATATGCATTATTGGTTGCCTAAATCAATTATCAGGACTGGATCGGCTCATCTGCCCGCCTTTTTTTTTTACATTTTCTTATCTGGAATTTGCTTACTCTAAAATTAATTTAAACGAAGCTGTAGCGGAGATATTCTGTGATTTGATTAAAGTGTTTTATTACAGTATTGTTGCAAAAATTTCTAAATCTAAATCGAAGTTGAAGCGCTGATAAAATATTATCTTTCAGAGCGCAAGCAATGATAAGAATTATTCTGCACTCTTAAGTTTTAGATATAAGTTGGGGAGTCCCTCAAGGTTCTGGGTTGAGACGCATTTTAATCTATCTTTAGGTATATAAATGATTTAACTCAACTTAATATTGTTAGTACTTTCACTCTAATTGCTACGATTTTATGACACATAAATTACACCTATAGAAAGTCATAATATTAAATGGACTAATACAGTAAAATTTCTGGGCGATAATTCGGACAATAATTATTAGAAATGTGAAAGCCAGTCAGAACTGTGTAGTCAAAGAAATAGTTTTTAAACCAGCTTTTTAAGATATTGGAATTGTATTTTGAGGAGGTTTTAGCCGTGAGTTAGTCAATATTGGTTTTGTTGCTAAAATTAAAAAAAAAAATCATGTTAAATGTTTAAATTGCATGGAGCTATTAGTTTCTTCAGATGGTACCACTATGGATGGTACTAAGGGAGACAACCTTTGCGCTCTTCGATATTAAAAATCGTGGAGATTTGATGACATCATCATAAAATATAATAGAAAAATGCATTTTTATCGAGAAAAAAATACGTCAGACCTTGTCTCTTACTATTTTTCTATTTGAAAATAATTATTCCAATGAATATGACGATCATTTATTCTGTAGGAGAAGAGAGCTATAGAATGAAAATAATTAAATTAATAACAAAAATGTATTGTAGGATGAGATTTTTCCATTTTTCCAACGCGCAAACTGAAATTAATAGCGGAACATCTATCAGAAGAAAAATTCTAAGCTACCACTCATATTGTTTTCTATTACCAATGAACTTTAAAGTCGTGTATGTAATGGGTACAAGACGGGTGTAAAATAAATGGTGCAACTACACTGAGAAATAACTATTGTATTTGCTTGTCCTTGCACGTATTTTATCTGAAATCAATTAATAATAATTTATTTTAATTGAAAATGATTTGCATGAAAATGAAAATATTAGCTGTTGGCAACATTGTAACTCTTGAAAATTGAAATGTCAACAATTGGAGTGCGTTTAGAAACCTCGCACGGCGCGTCTGGACCCTATTCTAATGCATGTGGTCAGACGCGCCGTGCGAGGTTTCTAAACGCACTCCAATTTAAATTGTCATTTGTCTACATTGTCAACTGTCAAATTTAATTTTTAAAAATGTAAATATTTATATTTTTTTTACATTTTTTTATTTAAAAATTCAATGAAACATTGAATTTTTACAAACGACTGATACTTCCATTAAAAAATTTTAGTGAATAAATATTAGTTTTACTTATTTTGTTATGTATCACTTAACGCCAAATTAGAATAAGTAGAATAACGGGATATAATCATACTCCACGTCTACAAGAAGTGGTTTAGGGATGTTTCCAATAGACAAAGTAGTCTATTAAAGATTATATGTATTGTATGAATGGTTTATGTATTATATAACTGAAGATGGCTCAGAAATTAGAAGATGAATCCAATAAGTAAACATGAATAATTAATGTTATTAATATTTTCTTCAAATTGGTCTATTTTTTTAGAAACTGGTTACTGGTATTCTCTTTGATATTAATTTTATCGATTTCCACAAGATTTTATAAAATTGAAGAGCCAGATCATATTTGGTAAGTGTTTTATACTAAATGAAACCACTTTCTAGTTCCTGTAATATTACTTTGACCCTATTTTAGTTGGGATGAAACTCACTTTGGTAAAATGGGCAGCTGGTATATAAATAGAACGTTTTTCTTTGATGTACATCCACCACTAGGAAAAGTAAGAAATAATATAATACTTTATAAATTAATTACTATTTTTGATTTATTTTTTAGATGCTAATAGGTCTGTCTGGGTATCTGACGGGCTATGATGGGAAATTTGCTTTTGACAAGCCAGGGGATAAGTATGAAAACACATCATATTTGGGGATGCGATTGGTTAGTAGGTTTAAATTTGTTTAACATAGGATTCTAATGTTTATTAAAGTTTTGTAGCACTTTGGGGGCCAGTATAGCTCCGATGATTTTTGTGTCTGTGGATGAGATGACTGGCAGTGTATCAGCTGCAGCTTTTGCATCGATATTAATAGTTTTTGGTAAATATTGCTGCTATACATTATATGATAAACAATTCTTTTATTTAGTCAAAAATCTAATATATAAATACAATACATACTTAAAGATAACATCTTTTTGGACCCTCTGCTGCATTCTATTGCATTGACCATTACATTTTAATAAAAAAAATAGAGACACATAAAAATGGTTCAAATCTTATTTAAGTAACATACAACACTCTATAAAAATATGTAATTCAGAAGAAAAGCCTTGTCAGTTGGTTGCACTGGAGATGTCAATTGGGGTCCCACAAGGCACTACATTAGACCTTTACTGTTTTAATACTTATAAATGATCTACCTCCACAAACAATAGATCATTTTTAATAAGTAAAGTATGCATGCGATAACCAATACACAAAAAAACTGCATAGAAAATGTCAAATTAACACAAAAATATCCTAAAAAAATGGTTCCATTCCACAGAAGTTTGGAACAGCTTGCCCAATGATGTTATAGATTACACATCAACAAAAATGTTTAAAAATAGATTATACTTTTTTATGAAGAATTAATTATCTTCAAACCATATTAACTCATTATTGTTTACAAGTTATTGTAATTGTTAGGGTATATAGAACCTAGTTGTCAGCCTTAATTGTTTTTAATAATAATAATAATTCATCTGTCAAATATTGGTTCTATGGGGGTGCTTCCATTTTAAATGGGTCACACTGTTTATATAATTTTTCAGATGTGGGACTGATAACGCTCTCGCAATACATCCTGCTGGACCCGATACTCTTGTGTTTCATGGTGGGATCGTTCATGGGTGCCGTCAAAGTATCGTCCAAAAAAACACCGGAATTTTCTCTAAAATGGTGGTTATGGCTGACGTTCACTGGAATAATGTTAGCCTGTTCCATATCGGTGAAGTTTGTTGGATTATTTATAGTCCTGCTGGTGGGATTGATGACGGTTTCCGATTTGTGGGATATATTGGGAGATTTGAGCAAACCGGTGGTAAGTTTATTTTAGTTTTTAATTTAAAGGTTACGAAAAACCGTCTGAGGCAAAAATCCCCCAAAAACCACCTAACTGAAGCTAAATTCCCCACACAATTTCCTCACTATTTTTACAAATTCCCCTAGAATTCCCCACATTCCCAATCAACAATTATATAAAAAAATTTCATCTTGCAATAAAACTTTAATCTCCTTTATTACATTTGTATATAATGCATGTATATATTTTTTTGGTAGTGGAGATTCGTCAAGAATACTGTGATTGTAATACTTTTGTAAAAATCCTCTTAGATGTAGGTTTTGTAACTTTTTTAAGGGAATATTTTTCACAACAAGAGCTTTGCACAAGTCCTGATTAAAATGATCCTTGTCACTTTTTGTTTTTTCGTCGTTTTGAAATGAAATAAACTGGCTGTGATTTAATGTTTTGAATTTGGCTTAATGTAATGATGTCACAACTATTTTGGCACAAGCTTTGCAAAACGCTTTATCACCATTGAGTTTCAACTCTGGAAAGTTATTAATTCACGAAGAAATTCTCGACATTTTAAAGACACTTTAAACAATAAATAATTACAAGAAGCAGAATATCTAAGATACTCTCACGCAAAGTATATCCTTAAACTGAATTAAAATTACAATCTAAATATTGTAGGAGTTATATTTGTGGAAATATAAATATCCTTGAGTAGTTAAATAACCAATCTTTCTCTAGGTAAAAGCTAAATTTTCTGAAATTTACTAAAATATCCAAAAAAAGGCACATATAGTGCGTTCCATAAAGTTGGATCCATATGGGCTATTTTAAGTTCTTAAATAAGCAGAATTGATTGCCCTACGATATTTTTTCCAATCGTAATATTAAAAAAAAGTTCCCATATGGATCCAACTTTATGGCACACACTGTATATGTATTTTGCATATATTTCGCTCTCTTATTAGCAGTGACGAAAATATAAATAGCAAGATACCTACCTACTATTTAATTGTTTGCTGATGATTAAATATTTTCTGAAAAATATGTTCAATTGATAACCAGTGGCGGCTCGTGGGCACTAGCGGCAGTGGGACACACACTGGAAATGAATCCCGGGATTCGTTTTTCCTTTAGGAAAACAAGTTCTCTGCTTAATGAAAATTAAATATATTTCAAAACAATCAGTTTGGGCAATAACGATTTCTGAATGTGACTACAGGGAGCTAAATGTGACCACTCAAAATGCATTTAACTATGTATGTGACTATTTAATCAAAAAAATTATTATATATCCACTCTTGCGAAATTTGCGTAAATTTCTCAGAAGAATGCAATTTACTTAGAAGACTTAGAATTTTTTATACTCTTAAATATGCAAACAGTGATTTGAAATCCTCGAAAAAGTCAGACAAAACCAAAAGAAAAATAAAAATTTTGTCCCATTTATAAATATTATTGATTTTTTTTCATCATATTTTTGACTGCTTTATAAAAAAAAGTTATTTTTCTTTGTAGTTTTATTTCTTAACTATTCCAATCAATAAATAAATTATTATCATGGTCCAACAAACGCGCACCTTCAGCCGAAACCGACATTACCTGAGAGAGAGAGCCGGTAAAGATGCCTCTGCGTACATTCATATCTGGTCTAGGACAGCGCCCTGCTTGTGACGTATAATCCATCGCATGTGTTCATCTTTTGCTAAGCGATATTGTCGTTGTCCTTGTTTTTCGCATCATAATGAGAGAGAAAATAACAGAGGCACACATTTACTGTGCCCATCTTCTTTCGGAATTCTCGGAACGTCGCTCAACGCCCGGTCGTCCAGTGTCGTGCCAACGCGATTTGCGCTGAATATTAGATAAAATAATAATAGACATTGAGGAAAATATAAAATATGTAAGTTATTATTTTTTTTTTGTATATTATACTAGGGCACGTGCCCAAGTTCCCTTACGGGCAAACCGCCACTGTGATAACTGCTTATCGTTACAAAATGCAAAATGACTTAGGACCCAGGGGCGGATCCAGAACCTTTCCAAGGTGGGGCGCAATTTGCAGGGTACATATTGTGGTTTTTTTCATTGGGTATCAACTGTTGAGGGTTATTAGAGGTCGGGGGGGGGGGGGGGGGGGCAATTGCCCGCATTTCCTCTCCCTCTTGGATAATGAAAAACTAGTAAAGAAATTCGTCATCTTAGCTGGAAAAAACATTTTTGTCATTTGTGTGTTCTGTGTAGGGTTTGCTACTGTTTCCCAGCGCCTCTTTAGGGATAGCACTGTTTATTAGAACCGTACAGTGAATGGTCGGAGTGGGGAATCCTACCTAGACATCAGAATTATTTTTAAGTAATTAAATTTAAAAAAACTCCCGCTAACAGTGGTATTCGAACCGCGGACCATTGGATTTACATGCCCAGACTTTACCAATGATCCACGCACCCCCCCAAAACAAAGTATATGTTAGTAGTAGTGAAAATAAATATGCTGCTGGATGATAAAATTAACTCGATTTAAATACGGACCACGGACCTGTTTTTTTTTTTATTTTCGACAACTACACATTCACACATTCATTATAAATTTCCTACATAGTATACTTCAAGGTTAAAAGAAGTTAAAGAGAAAAACAAAATTATGTAGATTATGCAGAGATCTTGTTTATTACAAATGCGCGTTTATTTTGCAAAAAATATGCCAAATGAGGAAGAGGAACACAACAAAATTCTATATACAGGGTGGTTCGGATTTAATTTGACTAAGGTAATTCCATTGTTTTTTGTTTCCAAATAGGATTAAATGACATTTATTTTTATTGAGCTTAAGATTATGTTTAATTGACAATTTATGAATAATATCAAGATCTTTATTTAAGGATTGTTCAGCAACTTGATAATTATTACTATCAATGTTGTAATAAGGTTGGGTGTCATCAGCATACGCTTGTATTTTTCAGTTTCGAACAGATATCAAGATATCACTGGTATATAAAATAAAAAGCATTGATCCTAATATTGAGCCCTGTGGCACACCAGACTTTACGTTTGTAATGAAGCAAATTCATTATTTAAAAGAACTGTTTGACTACAGTTAGACAAATATGAATGAATGAGATGAATAGAATTTAAAAAAAAAAACCAAAATATTTTAGTCTGAAACAAAGTAGATTGTGATTGATAGTATCAAATGCTTTGGAATAGTCCAAAGCAACAAGTTTGTCTTCTCTCTGTATTTCTTAAAATATCAAAGTGTAACAGATGTATTGCAGCCACTTCGAAAATCAGCCTGGCAATCCAGAAGTATTTTGTTTTTATCAACATAAAGGGAAATTCTATTATAGATAGCCTTTTAAAGAATTTTGTACATCGCAGTCAGAATACTAATAGGCCTTAAATCAGAAAAATATTGAGGTTGTGCAACTTTACAAAGTGGTCTAATTGTTGCAATTTTTCAAGATGTTAGAAAGTAGTTTCTTTGAATTAAATGGAGAAAAAGTTTCATATTTTGACGGGTAATTCAATTGTTCATAAAAGTTCCAGATTTTTCGGCTAGTTCCGGAGATATTAGACAAAATCCGAAAAAGCTAATTTTCGTTTTTTAACTCTAGCATTTTTATTATAAAAGATATAAAAAAGTTAAGGATGTTTATATTATAAAAAAAATTCCCAATAACCCCTTATACCAAAATTTGTATTACGACGTTTCGTATTTCCAGGAAAACCTTTAACTCTATTTTTTCAAATACGAACCGGTATTTTTTATTGAATTTTTTTATATCATTTGTATATTTAAATACAACGATATGTTACACTTGACCATTTTACTACATTTCGTCTATGAACATATCAGCTTTTTTACTACCGTTTTTTCTTGTGTAAAACAAGGAGAATCGTTTGAAAGTTTATGTAAATAATCAAAAGCATCGCTTAACCTAGTTCCAGAAGTCTCTACTATGGTCAGAGAATCCTTCCTCCATGGGTCAGAGTTTAAATTTTCTGCAGATACATGAGATTTTATGAGTGTAAATTTATAACCGCTGAAAATAGTTACTTGCGCATATAATGCTAGGAGGATTCCAGAGTATCTCAATATTTTAGAGGTAATTGAATTATTACCAATGATCTCGGTCTCCGTGGGTTAACCCCATGAATTATTTTGTATGGGGTTTCGTAAAAAACCAAATCTACATTAAAAATATTGCAAATAATATACAAGAACTTCGAATAGTTGATAAAACTATATCCCAAATGTCTAGGAGGATTCAACTCTGTATTCAACAGAATGGACTACATTTTAGGCAACTTTTGTGACTGTTTTTGGATTATATTATTATTATTATTATTACGTTTTTGTTTTTAGTAGAATGTGTGCAACCACATTACTTTTTGTCAAAAATTATAATTTATTTTGTAATGAATATCTTGTATTATATGTTCGAAATATTTGAAATTTAATATTTTTGTAATTTTCTATTAAAATTAACTTTGAAATAATTCTTTGTTCAAGTACATAACGATATCATAAGAGGCTACAAAACTGATTATATTTTCATAGACGAAACGTAGTTAAATGGTCAAGTGTAACATATTGTTGTATTTAGCTACACAAAAGGTATAAAAAAATTTAATTAAAAATGCAGATCCGTATTTGAAACAAATAGAATTGAAGGTGGTCCTGAAATTACGAAACGTCGTTATTCAAATTTTGGCGTGGCAGGTTATTTGGAATTTCGTTTATAACATAAACTTCTGTTAACTTTTTTTATAATAAAAACGCTAGACATAAGAAACGAAAATTAGCTTTTGCGGATTTTGTCGAATATCTCCGGAACTAGCAGGAAAATCTAGAACTTTTATAGACAATTGAATTTTGATTTACCCTTTAAAATTTGAAACTTTTTCTGCATTTAACCGACATTGTATACCATGCAGTTTACGAGGTCTCTGTAGAAGTGAAAAAATGAGAAATAACATATTCGCCATTAAATCAACTTTTAATAGACTATTGCTAAGTGGATTCT